GATGAGAGGTATGAGGGTGTTACATATGTTGAGGGTACGGTGGGAGGAAGGTGCAGTGTGTAAACGGGTGCGTCGTTCTTGAGTGCTGGTGCATTCGTCGCCTCGTGTTGTCCTTCTAGAAGAGGTGCAACTATGAAACCCAGCTATAAAACAACTCAACCAAAACCTTTTACGTGTCCACGTGCAAAAATGTGCATCGCATCACACGACGATGATTTATTTTTCCGAACGCAGATCCACCAAAAGCGTACAACGTACAGCAGTGCTTGGGTCCACGTGCTTGCCAACCAAGAGAATGAGCGGTGTTTGGAGGTAGCCCGACGTAACGCTAGCTGCGCAAGTGACATGCATGATATGCTCTCTTTATGACCTATTTTGGCATTCGAGTGTAGTCAGTGCGCGAGAGCCCCTGTTTCACGACCTTCAGTTTTGTCTACGATATAAGAGAGAATTCTCTTAAAGTGAGATTCTGTTTAAGAAAATTCTCTCTTATATGGTAGCCAACACGATATAACAGAAAGCCGGATTTAAGAGAGTGAAATTGGCTTGTACCGACCCTCTCTTAAACCGTAGCCGCTACTGTATTGTTGTTGCTGTTGTTGCTGTTCTTGTTGTTTTGGCATCAAATACGCGCACACTCGATTTATCGCTGTAGGGCTTTTGCAAAGTATTGCCCGTGTTTGCGGTACCACTTGGAATCGTCTCGCGAAAGTGCCTTCCTCCAAACACAATCAAGAGGGCGGTCAAAGTTCGTCAACAGCGTGCCGACGGAAAAGCCGCAAATCCCACCCTGTTTTGTTCCCCCTCCAAATCTTGATCGCTTTGCTCGTGAAGCCACCGCTGTGCCTGCCGAGCACCGTAAGCGTGTTGGAGGTGGCCAAGAAGATGGCTGACGTCCGCACCGATGCTGCGATACTCCTGGACAACAAGGGCCATCTGGAGGGCATCATCAGCGATCAAGACGTTGCGAGGTGCACAGGGTTTCGTAGTGTTGGGGGGGTCGGACGGTCTTGGTGCCGTTGAGCGGGTTGTGTCTATTGCGCTACAGCAGTGTCACCAAGCGCCGCATTTAATGTCCGAAATTTCTGTTTTCCACAGGCGTGCATCGTAGCAGGGCGTAAACGAAACCAGCTTTAATGCTTCTTCATTGTACCACTCCATGTCTTGCGTCGCCAGCGGCGTCGTTCGTGTGTATGGTTATAGTTTTGCTGTTCGTGGTCTGAGGTGGTTGTTGCTGTCGTCGCCGTAATTGATGAATCAGGCGGGTGGTAGCGAACAGACTGGACCCGTCTTCGACAACGGTGAGCGAGGTGATGACGCCCCACCCGACCATCGTCCACATGGCGGACAGCGCCATGGAATGCCTGGGCATCATGATCGAGAAGCGATTCAGACATCTGCCGGTGAGGTTGAGGAAGATATACATTTTTGAAACGTATATCTACAGGCGGTGCCACCGCTTCAAAACCTCTTTTTTTGCCGAGGCTCATTCTCTCGTGGCATGTGTTACCCAACAGCGACGATATATGTAGGTGTTAGTATAGTATTGTTCAAACTGAACACCTGTTCTGTGGTGAAGATCTTTGGTTTCGATTTTCTTTAGCCTGAAGTTGATGATTCCCAGGTTGTTATTTGGCGCCTTTGTCAACCAAAACATGGCGTTGAAGACGAGGATGTAAGACTGTACACAGAGTTGTAAAATGTTCGGTGTGGTTCGTTGACGTTCGCTGGGCTCTTCGAGTCAAAAACCCGGAACATCACACCGCGGCCGGAAGCTAGATGTGAGTTGGTCCTGCTCAATGCTTTCAGTACCATCTTTCATCACCCCTTTAGTGCTCTCATGAGCCAGCCCACTCCGGAGGGACCATCACTTGTATTGTGGACGTATGTGATTCGATATGGTCGCCAGGTGATCGATGGCGAGGGAAACGTGACTGGTCTTCTCAGCATCGCCAAGTGCCTGTACGACGCCATCCAAAGGCTCAAGAAGAAGGCTGCAAGGGCCGAGAACAGCGGCGGTGGCGGTGGCGGCGGCAACGCCAACCTAGCCGCGTCGGTTCTCCAGGTTAGCAGAGCAGGCGTTTTTCCCGTCGTCACTCTATCTAGCGCAAGGCTTTTTTCTTGCGCTTTGCCGATCAATTTGTACGTTTTAAGGATAGCGTACATCGTGCACACTTACCGAACGCGTGTAGACCGGGGCCAGAGTAGATGGGACGGATGCCACTGGTGATGATTTGTTCATATTCCGACACGGAAGCATTGCCAACTGCGTCCCCCCAACTCTGGCGGCTGGCCTCACAAAGAACTTTATGCGTCTGTCAATTCCATTTATTGGGATGGCGTTTTTTATGATGTTTCGGTGTGTCTTGGGGCTCGTCAGCCGGGGGGTTAACCGCGGAAGGCGACGCGTTTTTTTTTTTTCTGTCTGCGGTGCCTCTTGCCTTCAAATTTGGCCTGACGAGAGTTCAGCTAATCCTCTCCTTCGTTGACCGTCAAGTCGGCCTTTGTGTATGCCCCCAAGTAACCGCTTTCCAAGTTTTGCTTGAACACGGATATAAGAAAATAAATGCTCAGCAAGGCCCGTGGGATAGAAAGCCGGGCCCCTGCGCCCCCCCCCCCCCCCCCGAAGGTTGGGCTAGTTGTCGTCGTGGTTGATGGGGTTCAACGGTGTAAGTTCGGCTCAGATGGCCAACTCCATTGATGGTGTGCGTAAGCTCTCACACCGTGGAAACCCGTTGCGCCATTGTGTTGCGACTCAGATGGCCAACGCCGGGAAGGGCAAGGGCAAGAACAAGACGAGGGACCTCCAGGCCGCCCTGGCGATGCTGCTGGCCAACTCCTCAGACGAGGCCGAAGCGGTGGGTTGTTTTTGTCTCTCGCCTTCTAGATGGATACCTTGCCGCCGGGTTTAGAAAATTACACGCCTCGCGTGGGTGTTCCAGCGATGCTCATTTCGAGCCCGCTGGAAGAAGTTTTTTCTGATGGATAATGTAGGGTACAGGGTTAGGGTTAGCCAATAGGGTGGTGTGTCGCATTATTGAGTTCCCGCTAACTGATTGGAAATTGGTCGTTGAGGTGCAGAGATTG